TAATATGTCTGGCTCTCCCTTGAAGAATAATGCAACTTTGTTAAAATTTAGTCAGGACTACATGCCCACTGCCCCAGAGTTGTTTACGTCAGCTAAACAGTATTGGAAAATTTTCCCTCCAATGTTCTACCGTACATAATTATGCATATTGTGCATTCAATACGAGGAATATATTAAATGCATCTTGTATGCTTAAGACTTGCGATTTTAAAAAGGAAACAATTCACACGGTCAAGATCAAAAAATGCGTTTATCTCCGAGCAAGTTTTTTGCGTTCCTTAAAGTTGTGGCTGAAAATGGGTTCTTTTACATGCTACAGTATAACTTATAGTTTGAATAATGTAATAATATTATAAGATATAAATGTTCAATTTATCAATATTTATGTACGATATAGATTTTGCTCCTAGTTATTTTTGTTTCGTAATTGTAGTCCTGAAACAAAAGGTTGACACTTGTTAATGGTAACGTGAGTACATGACGTAGTCTGCAGAACAGTAATTAATTATCAGGATTTGGGTCGGGGCATCTCACTCGATATTTAACAATTATTTGCCGAAGGCGAGGTGATTATCGGGGAATATTCGCCGAGACGAAGTCGAGGTGAATATTCAGTGGTTTAACGGTATATCAGGGCCCCCGGTTCAAATTTTCGAAGGCCCCTAGTAGAAGCGCCAAAGGCACGAGTTGAGCGCCGTATATGCACAAGTTTTCTAGGGGTCCAGGGCATGCTCACCCGGAATATTTTTGAATCTAGACTTTCTGAAATGCCGTTTCCCCGACTTTGGGGTGTGGGATTTTAAAGAATTCTGATGGTCAGAAAACGACATTGTGACATATCAGAGGCCCTGGCCAATGCTTTTGCTCTGCAGCCTGAACCTGGGGGCTCCTATTGGGCCCATTGGAGTTGGGGGCCCCCGGGTTCACCCGGTCCGAGCCCATAGTAGTTACGCCACTGTGAATATTCCCCGATAATCACCGAGCCTGAGGCGAATAGTTGTTTTAGTATTTTTACACAAGACTTTTGTGTTTTCTGGGACTGAATTTATTTTAATTTCGCTTATTTCTTTATCAGTAACTTCCACAAAACGGCTTGGCCGCCATTTTGAAAATTTCGGTTTTGCTATATTCATCTGTAGGTCAAAATAACCTATACTTAATACGTCAAATTTGACCAATCAACTTGTAGGATTTGTTATCTACACTTTTCAAAAATACTAAAACTAATTGTTGAAGATTTTTTCGTTGGAAATTCCAATTGTAAATTTTATACATTTTTAGATCTAACCAGGAGCAATTGCGAAAAATCAAACTATATAGGCCTTCCGGTAGTAATCAAACCTGCGGCCCTGAGATGCCGGTGCACCACACCAATCAAACTAAGCAACACAACTGGACTCTGTAACTCAATCGGTTAGAGCGCTGCACCGGAGTAGCAGGGCCCGCATGTTTGATTCCTGCCGGAGGGCATATAGTTACAATTTTCGCAGCTGTTCTTGGTTATAAGTGTAATCCAGCCTAAACCTAGCCTTTACTCGGCTGGCATTGGCAAGTTTGGTCAAGATCGGGCTAGCATTTGACAAGTATCGCCCCAAGTCGCTTAGGTCCCTGTCTTCTCATGTGAAAAAGTGCTGAAAATTAAAACAAATAATAAAAATAGAAGGCCTAGGTCTAGGCTGGGTGTGATCAATGTATAAAATTTACACTTAAAATTTCCATTTACAAAAACGTTTAATAATTGGCTTTCTGAAACAAAGTGATGAGCGTTTATGACTCGTTCTTTACAAAGATAATTTATATACTGTACTTTATTGTTTTTCACTCAACCAATAACAAAGTCTGAATGTTTATATTGGGCGACCCAGTATGATGTATATTATTTAGAGTAAATAACTGTACTTTAAATCATAATCAGTATAGAATTAAAAGGTTTTGGAAACTGGATTACATGAGAGTTAATTTAATTACAGCCGTGATTATGTCTTATTTCTTTCCTGATTCTAATTTATATATTCGTTTTACTTGTCTGTCTGTTCGGTATAGACTCGCAAAAGGTATACAAAACCAACTTCTCCCCACTCTGGATTAGCCTCATTTTCGCCGCAAAAGTCAGAGGTGTACCTCAAAGACAATACAGACTTATTAATACGCATATTATGGTAATTTGTTGGACATTGCTTGCAAATCTGAATTCTGCAGACAATGTTTAACAGGGCGCTATCATAACACAATATGAAAGGAACTTCCAAACAGCCGTTGAATTTCTTGTTACCAAAGACGAGCATTTTTGCACTTAAAACTGATATTTGCACATTGACTGTCTGCTCTTTCAATAGTCCGACATACGCCGTAAAGTCTTCTCTCTTCTAAAATTCCATGTTTGTTTTCTGGTCCAAATACTGTTCGATTTACTCCTTGTTGGACAAGCAAAATTTTTGCCACATCTCCTATCAGATGTGTTATATCGAAAGTCACCACCTTGCTTGAAAGCACTCAAAAGGCAAAGGGAATTTTGTTAATTATAAATACAAATATGAGAAAGACGCGCAATTTGGACTTGTGTTTTCCCTTACACAGTGCTATAGTCCCATACATTCTGCCAACTATTTAAGTAAAATATGCAAAATTCAAAAATGGATAAACACAAATGAAACTTATTTTCAATATGGAGTAAAAATCAACAGAACAGCGTGTGACAAACCAGTAGGGTATAGTGCAGCTTGAGCGATGTCTTCAAAGATAAATGTAAGGGATTTAAATGCGAGGTTATGAGATTAAAGAGTCTCTCTATTTTTTCTTTTCTTTCACGATTGTTTCTTGATGCTTCCAGATGATATTCGGAATTCCATTCTCCTTTCTCTTTTTGCATTACTTTCCAGTAATAGATTACAGTAAAGATACTTTTCCAGCGAAAACATGGCTCCTATATACAAGCTAGAAATATGAATGCAATCGCAGCTTCTGTTTTAGGTTTAGACAAATACAACGCCTCTCCTGCTCGATAGTCGCTTGCCTCCATGCTGTCGACAACGGCATTATATACCTCCATCAAAACTGTGCCAATCAAGAGTATTTGTTCTAATTTCCTCGTGCATCTTGTCAGAAGTAGATTCTGAACCATTCTTTTAGTTGAAACTCCCCGAATTTTATTTTTATGCGCTGTCAAATATTAGGTTTATGGAACAAATGATCAAACATTGCGTAATCGAAATCACAAAAGTTCGCTTATTATATTAGGGATATGTGATTCATTTCCTTCTGACCAAATTGCGTAAGGAAAACGAAAGTGGAATATTAATGGTATACGTTACAATACATGTATTAAGTTGGCTTTTTAAATTCCAAAACCAGGAAATTACCCTGAACTATAATTATTATTATTATTATTAATATTATTAAATTTGTCACAAATGTGAAAAAATTACAACAATATAACACTACAGTATATGTCATGTGTGACAGGAACAAGCAACAGAATTTTCATCCCAATTATTACCTCATTCCTTTGTTAACTATATGTACTAACATATAGCTATACTATACTAAACGTCACTTAAATATTTACACTCAATACAAAACATTCAATATATTAATATCTAATACTAGGAAGATTGTATGTTATTAATTTGCCATTATACAAATTTATTACGCGTGTTCTAAATAAAGTTAGAGTATTAGAAGTTTTTTATGACTGGGGGAAGACTGTTCCAAAGTTTTGCTGATCTGATGAAATAAGATTTTCTGAAATAATCTTGATTATGCTTTATTATAAGGTGAAAGTCATTTTCATCGTAGTTACGCGACTTGTATCCAGGGTTAAATGTACGCAGAAACTATGTCATATGGACATGCATATATATATATATATATATATATATATATATATATATATATATATATATATATATATATATATATATATATATATATATATATATATATATATATATATATGGATCAATATCGTTAAAAAAGGTATTGCCGAAACGATTTTAGTACACTACATGCATGTACGTGAAAATGACAAGAACATAGAATTGCCGTTGGGAAGGACTTATCAGATAAATGCGGATTGCGAGAGATGAAGCTGCCTGAAAAATACCAGCAGACGTTTCTAGCAAAGGCACTTCGTCAGAAACTTACTAGCGACGGAAAAGTGCAAAATCACGTGACATAAAACATCGAATAGATTTAATCAAGTAGTTTATTGATGAAATAGGACGATAATTTAAAATGACTGTTCCAGGTGCTTTCTTATGAAGTGAATTTCTTTCCGGAATGACAGAATCATTTTCATTTTATATGGACGACTCCAAAAGAAAAACGTCGATATTCCAGACAAAAGTAATTTTATTAAAATCTTTAATATTTTAATAGAAATGCTGAATGGATCGACATATAATTATTTAGACGACTTCTAATTATTGATTTGATGGACACAAATAAAATCGAAATAAACAAAACTATTTCTCAGACGGTCTATCTTTCATATATTCATCAGTAGTTGTATTAATCACTGGAATTGTGTTGACCAAATCTGGGCCAATATCTGCAAAGTAATCATAAAAGACACTATTTTGTCTATCCGTAACTTTTAAAAGTCCTATTTCCAAGGTAATGGGCATTTTGCCAGATTGTATCGTTTGTAGGTGTAACCAGCTTTTTTATCTCCTTCCTTATTTTTTCCTTACTTCCTTCCTTCCTCTGCCTTACTTCCTTCCAATAATTTGGAAAAATGGGGGTCATGCTCTCCAAAGAAAAAAATTGAATTCCTGGTTTCTGAAACGGCATGTGGAGACATCGGAGAAAAATATAAAGTTCAAACATTGATTTCAGAATATTTGACGATTTAATTCTGTAGGCGACATTCACGTAGAACTTTATTATTAGAAGAAAGTTCAGTAGATTCTATGAGAAGATAGTTCAAGGTACTGAGTGGCAAGATACGCGCAACACTGTCTGCTGACAAGGATAGTAAGAAGAAGCAGGTGTTTGGCGTGGATAACGATTTTAGTAAAATCAGTTTAATTGAATTAGCTTTTTTAACTTTTGAGGCTAGGTTGTAAATTACGATGGACTCTTAATTTGAATAGGTTTGTAGCATGATCGTTAGGTGGATTGGGGTAGGCCGTACACCCTCGATTGATTCCATGGATATATTTCCCCATAAACGTTTGAAATCCACGCTCGTTTGAATCATTGGCAGGAATAGTTTTGAAAAGGTGGCAGAATTATGGTTGGCTGGATGCGGGCAGGCCAAACAAACTCGATCGATTTCGTGGGCATGTTTTTCGAGAAGCGTTCCGAGAGTCTTTTAAATCATTAGGGGGAAGATTTGACTTGCAAATTCCGCCACAGTGACTGAAACCTAACCATCCAAAACAACAGTTTCAAACCATGTATGCTAACTGCGAATCATAAATATTTAATCTATAATAAGTGGCCACAGCGAATTAGAATATTATGTTCTGGTTCCCACTCTAAACATTCTTCGGAAGGTTCCATTAGTTACCACCCAAGTACACAAAATAAGGAGAAAAGACAATTTTACTCCTAAACATTTAAAAAGCATTGCCCAAATTGCAATTGTTAAAAGGATATTGTCCCATTTCAAAGAATTTTTCAAATTATGGAAAAACATTTTTACAGATTCTTCAAATGCTGTTTAGTTCTTGAAATATTTTGACCGTTATCACCATAAATCAGTGAATTGTCCGTCATCTTGGATTAGCTTAATTTAAAACACGACTACAAAAGATATCATCAGAGTAGGTGTTTGGATGAGGGTTAGTGTTAGTAAAACTACGACGAGTAAAACATCTACTTCCCCGCGACGCAAGAATAACCTTATATAACAGTCTAATTCTACCTCTGTTTGATTACGCGGACGTTGTATGGGGTGACAAAAATAATGCCCTTTTGATGAACCAACTTCAAGTACTTCAAAATAATGCAGCTCGTACCATATTAGATTTACCAAAGTATGCATCAGCAACTCAGGCTATTAATCAGCTGACATGGAAACCTCTAGTCTCTCGCCGCTGTTCTCATCGT